GATTTTTTAAGAATGGTATTTCGTCCAGAGCATTTCTATAATTAGATTTTACAAATTCACTATCAATGCGATCAATAGCTTATGATGCTACTTTCCCCACTGTAGAATGATATTATTGACTGGCACTGTATCCTTTTCTAGCCATGTCCCTCTGTTAGGACCCCGCTCATTATTGCTCTTAGTTTGTGATGGAAACAGACTGGAAAAACTCCATTAGTGAGTCCTATCCTGCTCATTAAGGATCTGTCCTGCTGCGCTGTGAATATGTAAAGTTTTAATAAGCACAGTGACAGGATGAAAGCACATCTACTAGATTTTAATGCAGAATAAAAGAAAGGTAATATGACACAATAAAGCAGAGAGATGGCTGTAATTAGATGCACATGCATCACATAGCTCTGTGCCTCCTGAAGTCTACAGTTCATGGCTAAGAATGTGAGGCTAAAGCTGTCAGAGCAAATTCTACACACTTCATATTAACCCTAAAGTATTAATGAATTTTAAGGTAATGAATTTAGGTACTGTAGATGCTATTGCTTGAATGAAAATGCAAAAAAACCCCAACACAATGACATCACTGAATCATCAATGAACTGACTTTAGCTGGAAAAATGACTTTGGTATTGTCTTCTTGCATTATTGGCAAACTATTTTTCTGTTTGACACTGTAAAACTGCTTTGACACAATCAGTATTGTATAAAGCGCTATATAAATAAAAGTGACTTGACTTGACACAACTAAAAGCAATATTAGCTGAAAACGCATGTGTGGATGCACACCTTGAAAAAAAAAATCCAAATCTATAATGAGAGTGAGTGATGTGATGAGGCAACACATCAAAACCAGAGTGCTGGCCTTATAATAAACAAAGTTGTCTACACTGCAAATGCGAAAAGTAATAAATATAGCACTGTGTTGCTTGCTTTTAGTAGAAATTGTAGACATTGTCTGTCGTTTTTTACTGTCCAATTTCAAGTCAGCTTCACACTTGGCCAAACATTGAAGTCTGTGTGTTTGTATTTTCTGGCTTTACTCTTTATCACACTATTCGTCTCTTCATTTTCCTAATTTCTAATCTCTTTCTCTTCTTTTCTTGCAAGATCTTCTTTTCCCTCTGATTTTCACTGACCCCGAATCTGGCTCAGTTGTAGTTCAGGTCGTAATGGATGGCTGAAATATCACAGGATGCCCTAGGCTTACACATTTCCTTTTATGCTGCAGGTACAAAGAGAGTGCAGAGGCACAGAGCGTCTTCTCCTCCTCCAGGCCGATATGGTCTACGTAGGGCTGTAGTCATTTTTTTGCATATTTTTGCGGTCACATGCAGATCCTTGGGTTAATTAGGTCTTAATCCTGTCGAGCTTCTAATTTATAAAACGCCACACTTTTTAATGGGACGTAATGGTTTAAAATATATAGCAGGCAGACAATGTAAGCCCAAGTGGTGTTTTATCAATGATTTGTTTTTAAATTAATCTAGTAAAGTAAATTAATTGTTCATTGTCTTCCATGCACTTATTTTTTCCCCCTCTTTTCAAACATATGATTGCCTTGGTGTCTTTTTCTGCATTCAAAGACCAACTAGAGCACCAATACATAGCATTTGAGTGAAGGCTTTCAACAAGCAATTAATGTTTTTTTAAATTTTTTTTAGTAAACAACAAATCAAGAAACAAACAAGATAAAACAAGGTGACGCTTTATTTTACCGTATCCTTGTTACACGTTACATGTACTTACTATAGTAATAACAACAAATTATGCATAATTACATGCAATTTACCCTAAACCAAACCCTCATCCTAAGCCAAACCATACAGAGTTCCAAGTTCCAAGTTCATATAATTAAGATCACTCAATATATAAATGTATAATTATATTGTAACACTGTACACTGTAAAATAAAGTGCAACCTAAAACAAGATCAATTTACTTGAGGACCAATTTTTTCCCCCAAGAACATCTCAAGTTTATTTTTCATACCCTTTAATTGAGTTAAACGAAGAAGGACTTTTATTCAAATTTGCTCTGAGATTAAATGTTCTTTCTCACCCTCTAGATCCCCACCCATTTACCTCCAGGTTTTGGTGTTAGTTTGTATTCCACTCATGTTTAACAATGCTTTGCTCAGAGTTTAAGAAGGAAAGGTAACTGTTGATCTAGAATAAGGCTTCCAATCTGCCGCTCTACCACTCCATGAATTACCTCATACTAGGCAGTGCAGTGCAGACAGTTTTTCTATACAGTATGTTGTTCTTTTCCATTGTCTGCATTTAAACACATGATATATATATATATATATATATATATATATATATACACACACACACAAACCCTACTCCAAAAAAGTTGGGACACTGTACAAATTGGGAATAAAAACAGAATGCAATGATGTGGAAGTTTCAAATTTCAATATTTTATTCAGAATACAACATAGATGACATATCAAATGTTTAAACTGAGAAAATGTTTCATTTTAAGGGAAAATAAGTTGATTTTAAATTTCATGGCATCAACATCTCAAAAAAGTTGGGACAAGGCCATGTTTACCACTGTGTGGCATCCCCTCTTCATATATATACATATATAAAATATAAATAATCATCACTGATAGAAAGCTGAAGTGATTTTAGCTTTCATGCAGTCATTAATCAGTATAGGCAATTAAATCTAAACATGTTTAGATCCTTGTCGATTCAACTCTAAGCCTCTGCGTTACACCAACTCTAAATCCTCTACATGGTAAGTCACAGAGGATCTGGTTCAGAATAATGGTCAGGTTAAACCTTACGTTTTCATATCAGTTCTAAGAAAAACTTTTACCTTTAAACAATAAGGGGTTAAGTAATAAGAACAATGGAGTCAGCAATTTAATGGAGTCAAATTAATTATACCAGTGTCTTATAAATCTTTTACCTGCTTTTGTTTTGTTGTGATTATTGCTTCAAAATTGCAGCACAATACAAGCGGTTTTTAAGCAAGAAGGTGAATCAGTGGCATAGAAAAGTAGTTCTACACACAAGAGCATTTTAGCGAGAGTTAAAGCTTATGAAATATTTCTTTGGTACAAGCTAAATAAATGACTAACTGACCATTGAGATGAATTAACAGGCATGACAGAAAGTAGTGGTCTACATAATTTTCAGAGGTCCATCATTGATTATTCCGTGTAGATGCTTTACCAGTGGCCAATTATTTTTTAAAAGCCTAAAAATTTGAAACATTTTGTTCAATAAACATGTTGATTTGAAAGAACAGCTGTTACTGCATTCAAACCAACACAAACATTTGCATACTGTCAATGCAACGGATATATTTATGTAGGGTATCAGAGCGACTCAAGAACATGGTTGAAACACGAGGAGCTGAATTCCACAGAAAGGCCCAAGACAACAGGATGTTCGTAAATCAGTCTGAAGCAAGCCTAACTAACCAACTCTTTCACAGAACAGCTTGCAACATTAACACAAAAGAACAATTCAGGAAGGAGATTGTCAATTTTGGGGCAAGTAATCAAAATTGATGGTCAAAGAGATGCACAGCATGACCATCACATGTAAATCCATGATAGTAATCACGATCACAAGCTCTTTGGATTGGTTTCCCCCACCTAGAAGACAAAGATCAGACTGAGATTTCTTAGGAGACCTTTTAACCTCTGGTCTTCACAGAACATGTCCTTATGTTCACAGAATGGCACAGAAACTGTCTTTTAGAGATGTAGATGCACCAAAATGAACTCAAAAAGACTTATAAACGAATATCAGTCCATTGCTTAACTCCATATCATGTATGTAACCCACACATTTGACTATCATGTTCTAATCACTTATTGTGTATGTCTTTTTAATAACTATTGAATAGCTTAAGGGTTCATATTCATGTTTAGTATGTGTGTGTTTGAATCTTCTTGCTTGAAACATTTCTTCCAAACAATTCTTTGTCAAATGTATCACATTCTTGTTATAGAAATCATGTCCAAAATTATATTCTGCAAGAGTGGGAAAATTTGGACCATGTGACTGACGAGATGACATGTTGATTTATGTATTGGGAGGAGAAACATACAACACCCCGAGCTAAGACATTGTCTAATTGGTCAAGACAAGATTTGGGATGTGTCCAAAAGCCCAGTTTAAAAACTCAGGACACCATCAAAGTATGCTTCTAGATTTTTGCCACTGCTTTTTGCCTGTGAATTCGTCGAGCGCCGTTCCAGTGTGCTTCGGCCTGCACGCCCGCTGCTACTTAGCCACGATGAGAAGAAAACGACCTAGTCTCGTTACTTCTATTCTTCTACTTTACTTTCTTTTCTTTTCCGTTGAGAGTTTCGTGTTCGGAGTTAAGTTTTGTCTCCGAGTTCACCTCGAGTCTGTGACTGCCTCAAAACTTCAACCAGCCCACAACTCTGCATCTTCAGCCAACGCCCAACCACTGGCTTCCCAAGACGTCACTTCAACGACTACTGAACTTCCAGCCAATCAGCAACCTCGGGAAAGGGAACCCCCTACACAGTTAACGCAAGTACCTACAGATTCTAGCTGAACTGGTGCATTTAATATAAATGTTAACCTCATTGAGGAACTCAATTCGAGGGTTAATTAAGTGATTGATGGTTGTTCAGGTCTATGCAATTGCACATATTGTTTTAAACTTGGAATTTCACATTTTCATACTCTTAAACTCATTCTTTCCTAACTTTCTCTCTTCCTGCAATTTGTGAGAATGTGTGAGTGCGTGTTAGACTAGTTTATATGTCTTAGATTTATCTAATAACGCCTTAGTTATATTGAAAAGAGAAGTATCTCGTGTTTTGTGCTTACAAGTTAATGTCTTAAACTGCCAATCTTGTTACTGTGCTAATAAATAGTGTTTTCACTATACTTTCGATTTTAATGTGGCCTTCAGGTGCCTTACCGTGCTCAGAAAGGGACACTTGCCGTATTTAAACGATTAATAACAGGTATATCCTAATTAAAGGACAAAGGCAGGTGCTGGTGTACAAAATACCTAACTCTTTATTCCTTATTACATATAATGCTAAAACATTTCACAGCATGACAGGTAAAAAGAGGGTATAATGTGGTGTACACAGGCAAGGCAGGTCATAAACCCTTTAAATACAAAACCCACTACACACAATAAGTTACTCTAATTCACACGCAGAGAATCGCACCACAAATTAAGCGATCACCTTCACGTGATACACTGCAATCAGCACACTTCTGTGATAAACTTTAAAGGGTATTATTGCATATTGCTCAATGCCATTACCTGTGAATTGTACCGTTTGTACCATCGATACCCAAATAAAATTAAAATACAATTCCCAAAGAAATACAATACAAACGAAAACTACAAAAGAAACACAAGAAAAATCTCTCCCCCTTCACGTTTCTCAACGCGCTGCGTCTAATTAACACACAAAACACACTAAATCATTAATTTAATATGGAGGTAAAGAAAACAGTGGCTGACATACTCTCCTACAAATAAAAACATTATTAGGTCAAGCAAGTCATTCATACACACTTACTACTCTTTAAAACATCCATACCTGAACCATAGATGCAGCTTGCCAAATGTATCCTCATAAAACGTGATCTTGCGCCGCTTTACTATTACACAAAGAACAGATCAGAATACGCAACTCCAAATTTAAAATATACGTCCCGTATCATATAAAACTCCATACCTGAAACAATTCAAATTGAGTCACAACGCAATCGACGGCTATCAGCCTTGCCTACTGGTCACATCAAACAGTTTTTCGAGAACTATTAGAGGCTTCTTTAAATATGGACTCCTTCACACAATAGTGCTTCACCTTTTCACTCCCCTCCAGTGTCTGAAATGCTGTGCTAGTGGCACTCCCTTTACATGTGGCATTCGCTCATACAAATGGCTAATTGCCCTCTAATTTGCGTCACCAGGTACCATAGACGGCTCACCTAAAACTATTTACTGACGCCGCCCACCTGACCTACTTTCCTATATGCCACATTAATATCCATTGCAGAATTGATGTTATACGGCTCGTTCAATGAATCGCTGGCCGACTCAGTGATCAGCCTAAAACCGTGATTCTGTCCAAATTCCCTATGAAAAATCATAAATGATTCCCTTTGAGCTAAATTGACCTGCTTCCCTTACATTTATATACACATGTAAATACTGTTTGACCTACTCTCTTTTCTGTGACCAGAGAGTGTCAGAAACAGATAGGCCCAGTTTGCACCTGGTATCAAAATGTATTTTTGTCAATCTCATTACAAGTGGATAACGCTACATATAGGTGTAAACGGGGTATGAAATGTTTTGACCCTGTTAACTTTTGACCACTTCCAGAGGTACTTGAAAACGCATTCATTCGGATTGCTTTCGTAAATCCTCATGCATTTGAACAGCCACAAAAGACCTCTTCCTCTCTGCCTACTGACCTAATTCTTAAACATTACGGATTTAAACTGTACCGTAAATTTGGTTTGAAGGCAAAAAAAGGGTAAAAATCACAATGTTATATTACTAGTCCTGATTCTAACACAAACCCACAGAGTTTGGCAAAGCTTTCCGTATCCTTTTCCATTGTCTCCTTTCACATTTTTATGTAGTTTGCACAAGTTTGTTTTGCAATATTAGATCAGAAGCCCATACATAAGACCTGCTCATAGACCCTCTCCTCAAAGATATCAGGACAGACGTGGTCAAAAGTGGACAAAAGAGACTAATGAATAAAAAAAAACAGGTATAAATGGGAATGTGTCTTCCTCATCTACTTGTTATCCAATCAAAAACCAACCTAAAATGCATCTTAATGCCAGGTGTAAACAAGGTACATAGCTTTGTGTCCTGGAATAACCAGAATTTTTCTGCTTTTCTATAAGCGCCACCTACTTTCAGAGAGTGAATCTGCATTTCACCATTCAGCCCACCTGTTTTTTATGCATTGGTCTGAACAGAAAAATCACATGCGTAAATCGTATCAAATTTTCAGGTTGATCATTCATGTTGTTGTCAACAGGCCTATAACAAACAAATAAATGAGTATGCTTTCAGTAAACAGCAGAAGAACCTTTGAAGAAATGGTAAATCTATTGGCCAAATTTTGTCTGAAAGTGAGGTGTGCTGGGTTGTCAGCCACAGTAGACCGCTTGAAGAGAGGCTGTGTGATATTGATAACCAGGCTTGTGTTTTTAAACCCAGCCTGAACAACAGCTGCTTGCCCTGCTGTGCCCCACTGCACAACAATATCTGCTCTCAGCACACATCACAAACAATCACACCACAACAAAAGCCTTGCTGCCTGTGTGTGTTGGCAGCTCTGTGCAGCTCTACACTGCCAAAGTATTTTTATACCAACATTCTTAAACTTATATTCAGTTTATTTTAATCTGCTTAAAAATTCGAAGCTAAATGTACAAACTGAAATTTGGGTAAAGAAGGTAGTTGTCGCATTTTGTAAAGAAAATCTGAGCGGTGTTTGTCTGCACAAAACGTGCCACCAAAGGCTGTGGTGGGTAGTTATAGTTTCTCACATCTGGTCCAAAGTATTAGGGCTCTAATTAGAATAGACATCCCCCCAAACATCAAGCAATTTAGTGCTCAAACAGTCAATATTTGACTGTTTTCCCAATCCTATGATGTTAAAGGAAAGGAAGGACATCACCCATAGAAGAAAATCATATTATCCTTTACTTTCTTTTTTCTCCCACATAGTTTCTCAGAAAATGCTCAAAGAATTTTAAAATGCTTGCTTTTAATAAAAATCATTTATATATAATGCTTAAATAGACTGATTTGGAATTGGGCAGAATATGTCCTAGCATGTCTCTCTGTCGCTGGAGGTCTGAGGGCATTCATCAGCCACACACATTCATTCTAGTGGCAGGCCAGTCTGTGCAGCTAAATGGCATAGTTACAACGCACTTCCGTGATGTGTTGACAGGTTCATATGCTAATTTTAATGGATACCGAAAGGCTGCAATGTGTACCACGTCTCCCAATGCGGAGCCGAGTCTGAGCGCACTAATGTAAGTGCAGCAAATTGAAATTAGCTCATTATAGACTGAATGTGCTGTATCCAGTGGTTAAGCTGAATTATTTTTCTCAAGGACTCCATTAGGAACACTAATTTGTGACTAGGATTAAGATTGTATAGTCCAAGTAGTCATATTTTTAATGGTGGTCAGAATTTGTATCCCTAATTTAAATGTACACTTTGCAGAAAAGAGACTCTAAAACAGGCCGGTGTCCTGCAGAGTTTAGCTCCAACTTGCCTCAACACACCTGACTGGAAGTTTCTATGCCTAGTAAGAGCTTGATTAGCTGGTTCAGGTGTGTTTAATTAGGGTTGGCGCTAAACTCTGAAGGACACCGGCCCTCCAGGACCGAGTTTGGACAGCCCTGCTCTAAAACATTTACTTTTTTACACTTGAGACTAAATGTGAATATGGTGTTGCTTCTGCAATTTGTAACAGTTTGCAGAGATTTTGGCATATTTTTGTATATATGGTTCTAGAAGAGACACACATGAGATTACTACAACCTTTTTCTTAGGTGAAACAAGTAACGGGAGCTGGAAACTTTAGTAAAGGTCTCCATTTGCTCTGATTTAATTTCTGATTTAATAACATTGCTGTCTAGCAAAAACACTTTATAATAATAATAATAATAATAATAACAATAACACACACACACACACAAATATATATAGTTTTTTATTATTATTATTTTATTATTATATATTTTTTCTTTCAAAGAAACCATTTTTTATAGCTGGATAAAGTAATTTTACAAGGTTCTCCACACAATGTGTGTCCTCATATATGTTTGTCCAAGCGTGTGCGCATGCCTTTAGGACTGACACCAGCATCTCAAACACGTTGTGACCAGCCCATCCTCCCTAGTGAGAAGAGCCTGTGGACAGGCTGGTAGGGTTTAAGTGACTGGGCCCAAACCCAGAATGTGTGCCGACTGCACTGGAGTGTAAATGCCAGGTGCTGCTGGTGGCATACAGGACCTGCGTCTGAAGCCATGAGCGCATCTCAAAAACATTGGATCACTTCTTAAATGTTAAAAAAAAAAAATTAATTATTATTATTATTAAAATAATTTTTAATTAATTTAGACATTGACAATTATGTAAAAATGTGCCTAATGTAAAAGTACGTTTTATAAGTTCCCATCAACCTGGATGGTAAATATTCTAAACATTCTTAAAGCTGCAGTATGGAACATTTGGTTAAAAATAAATGTGCATAACAGGGCTGTCAAAATGGCTGAAAAACTAAATTCGAATTTTGAACTGAAATATGATAAAAATTCAAATTATATTCAAATTTAAAATGCATAATTTCAGTTATGGTGAAGAATAGCTTTTGGCTTCTCTTCTGAGGCCACAAGAGGGCGCATCGAGCAAATACTACTAATGCACGTTTATTCAAAGCATAAGATAACGACTATCTGTGAAAAAAAAGTGCATAATGTTTAAAATAATGTTTATAAACTAATTATAATTAATTAAGTTGCTTAAACAACTATAAACAAAACAGCATCATGTATGTATGCATAGTTTAATACAAAGGTAGAGTACATTTTTCATTTATAAACACAAGATGCAGTGGGATGGGGAAAAAACCCGCCATAAAGCCTCGAGAAATGTTTTTTCAAAGTTGAACTTGCATTAATTTTACATGGCTTTCTAAACATGTGGCTCCGTTGTGCGAGATGCGAGTGCAACGGTGATAGATGTCCCTCTAGAAAATGCACAAAATATGTGTTTTGTGTGAACGGCTTGGTTTCAGTTTTGATGTAAACAAGATCTTCTCCACATTGATGTTCTCTTTTTCCTCAATATTTTTAATGAACAACACAGCAGCATCTAGTGGCTTCAACTGGATAGGCTAACAAAAACATTATAATGAAACGTCACTTACATCGTCATCGTATCTCGTGCGCCACTGATAAGGCTGCCTCCTTAACGCACACCTAAAATTCGAATGCAACGTTTTTGCATTCAAATGTGGATTTTTATTTAAAATTCTACGAATATTCGAAATTCAACATTTTTTTTTTTTGACAGCCCTAGTGCATAAACCGTAAGCTTAACAGATTCACAGCAGTGCGCTTATAATAACAAGGATTTTGTGTGAAATGTCTTCTTGACATCATTTGTCTTTGGGGCATTCTATCTGGTATAGTCCAAAAATTTTAAAAATGGTTGTTTGACCATTTTTAATTTTCCATATTTTATTTCGGGTTTCAGTATCTGTATTGAAAAACCATTAAAAAAAAAAAAAAATTAGTTAAACCTCAACAGGTGCCTTTGTGTCATGGCCCTCAACATTTTTTGGGTTAAACAGATGTTTACGTAAACATCAGCTCAGAAGAGTCCTAGCTCCTTGAAACAAAAACTGATCTCTATTGCACATTAAATGTGCAAGTACATATAAGAATATTTCTTCTTCTTCTTATTCTTGTTCCTTAGAATTTAAGATAAACCTCAAACCTGAAATGTTGTAAATGTACATGATACTTACCTAGGTAGCCTCTAAACAAACATCACCACAGACTTAAATACTTCCCAATATAAAATTACCCTAAAAGTGGAACTTTGAGCAATCTTGATAATTACATTTGGGCTAATGTTTTAAGCCTACGAAGAAAAATAATAAGGAAAATTGAGGAAAATTAAAAATGCAAGATACCTCCATTGAACCACTTTATAGATGGACTGACCTCTTTGCATGGTTAAGTCTCAACCATAAATAAAGAGAAGGTCTGGCTATGGGCTACTTGCACAGCTCCTCCCATGTTCTACTTATTACAGCTCAGGAATTTCCCTGCATTTGGTGGGTATCTCCGCTCTCACACATAGAGCATTGAAGTGTTTGAAGCATGTAGTTATTTAATTCAAAGATTGCTGGTATGACACCCTTAATCCTTCTGT